TCTCTCTCTCACGTGTGTTTACTATAAATGGCTAATATCTAAAAAAAAAAATTATAATATCATACCAATTCTTTAAATAATGTCCTAATTTCCGAAATGACGGTAACTTATAAAATTATAAGAAAAAAAACTGAGGGCAGTAGAAGTCCAAATAGTTTAGAAAAACCTAAGCTTTCTTCTAGGCCAATGTGGGTCTTCGTGCTCTTCGGTTCATCGGGGTTTACAGAACTTCGATAAATTCAAAACACAATAAGCAAACATTGTTGACAAGGTAATAAAAGTTAAAATACTGTAAAAACACTTCCTCGAGTGACATGGAGAACCCAATGTTAAATCAGTTTCTGTGTATAAATTATTTCCCAATACCAAGAAAACTGAAAATATTTTTTAGTACAGCTTTTCTAAAATGAAAGGGTCAGAAACCTACGAAGATAAATAAATGCCTAGATACAACCAAAGACTATAGTGACTTATATTGACCAAACAATAGACGTTTGTTCAAAAATGTTTCTGAAGAGCCTTTTCCTTTAAGTAGAATATTTGTATGTGTTCCGATTTATGTTGTCCTTGAAGTAGTTTATCGTTATAAAATATCGACTTTTATAATTGAGGAAGATTATTTTATCCTCTTTAGAGGGGAAATTGGATGAGTCAATGGCGACTTCGCTGGCTCAACGCAGTGAATGCTTTTGGTGGTGTTTTGAATAGACAACGTCCGCTCAGCAAACTTGTAAATAAATCGCCTGTAAGACCTCGCTTATCATGAAGGTCATTATTCCAGGTGTCAAGCTTATTCGTGAGGGAAAGAGAACGCTATTGTATCCGAAAAGAGAAAGCAATTCTAATCGAAAAAACATCTTTAGAGCTATAATGAATAATATTTTTTCTAATTATAATTAATAATGAAAACTTAAAATAATGAAATAAATATTATTCTGGGATTCTACGTTCTCTGAGAATAACGAAAATCTGTGATTCTAGTGTCATTTGAACTTAAAAAATACACAATGATAATAATGAAATCGTCGTTATTAAAACATATTTCTAAACGTCATAGATACAGAATATTCGGATCAGTGTGTATTGGCGCACTATTACATAAATATTGAAATTCTAACGTGTTGTAGATCATCAGGGTTGAAACCTGAAGACGAGTCGATGAAATCAGTAGGCTCATTTCCTGTTTTGGCTCAGGACTAATGAAGACTTATAATGTAGGTCGAAATATTGGCATTTAATGAATAGTTACCAAGACTGACGTTATTTTTTATCTATGCCCGGATCATTCCCTTCTCTTCTCAAGCGGATTCAAGGAAAGGCTCAACCATAAAGCTCCCTAAAATAGAAAACTATTTTTCTTTGGTTCATATCTGTTTTTATTACTGAGCTAAGCCAAATACTTAAACAATTCTAATGATACCGTTCTAAATTAGAAAGCACAAGTACTTTAGCTACTAAATGTAAGCACGCATCAAGAAAAAATATGAAAATGTTATCACTAAAAGTATTATTCTTTCGGTAATTACCGTTAATAAAAGAAAATACCTATCGAATATGGGTGTGTATTTCCATTGTTCTTAAAATTGTTCTTTGTCAAATCATCTTTGTTTTGTACTTCTTCCTGTTTACCTTTATTCTTTTCTGTATCGATGATTTTTCTGTCGTCATTTTAAATGGTTTTAGTATTCTGTATATTTGCTTCATTGTTATCTGTCTCGTTCCATGATTTGTTCGTTGATTCCTAGCTCGGAATGAAGATAGAACGGAACGAAAATGAGAACGAATTCCAGTGGTGGAACGGCTCGTTCCGTTCTATATGCATATCTGTTTTATCTCGTTCCAAATATTGTTCGGAACGAACATGTACGGAATGGAAACTGCAATAACTTCTAGTGGTGAAATGGAATCAGTTAGGGTGTCTAGGAGAGAATTTTGGCTAGTATAAATTCTATACGAAAACGAAAGATAAAGTTAATAGATTCTAAGACTAAAATCAACCATACAACAAACTTCACAACTGTAGAAGCTGGGGAACACTACATCCGTTCTATGACTAAATTTGATTAGCTATTTTTTATTTTATTTAACAACCTTTACTACATTAGTCATATTTTGTAACCAAAAATAAGTCTTTGCTATCTTCTTCTATCCTTCCAATCTTCTTCATGCATACCCATGTTCATCGTTCCTTCCTTGATTCCCTCATACCAGGTTCTCCTCGGCCGGCCTTTCTTCCGTCTCCTTTCCAGTTTCTAATCCCAAATTAGCTTAGGCCATTGTCCCTCTTCCATCCTCATCACTTATCCATACCGCTTGAGCCTTATAGTTCAATGGTAGGGAGGATGTTCGCCATTTTTTCCTCTCGTTTTCTTTTCTTATTTCACTGTTTGGAACTTTTTGAAGGCGAGAGACACCACATGATCGCATCCAATAGTCCATTTCTACAGCTAGCAATCTTTTTGATTGGTTCTCTTTAATTGTCCACGATTCGGCTGAATAGAAAGTCACACATTCCAGAAACGGTTTATATTTTTTTTTTTTTTCCTTTTAAGGACACGGATTTACCCTACGGAACCAAATTTAAGATTATTTTCCCAATACTTATGCTCTTTTCAATAGTACTGTTACTGTCCGATGTTCCTGTCATATTCACCGAGCTTCTTAGATGCTTAAATTGAGCTTCAGGTTCCAATAGCCTATTTGAACATATTCGCCTTGGCTATTAAAGGCCATATATGTCCGAAATCACACGGAGCTAGTGATCGACCGATACCGACGTTAATAATGGCATATCGGATTTTCCATATTCCAAAGACCAATACATATTTTGGCGTCATGGCCTTATTTTATCAATATTGGTAGAGTTTCACATTTTATTATTATTGCTATAAAATGTGTCAATCAATGGAACCGACATAAATTTGGACCGATCCATCGATCTTTGGAATATATTAACACACCGGTTTATGAAACATCGGTATCGGCCAATATTTATTGGTATTGGCAATGGTATACATATATATATATATTGGTATTGGCCAAAATTTATATGTATCATCCGTCGGAGCCTACCCCATAGCACACTTTTCATTATGGTTGAGAGAGTGATGCTTCCCCCCCCCCCCTCCAAAACAAAAATAATAGTCGAGAAATTATATTACGTATAAAAATTACAAGTGATAATTAATATAACTATTATAAGACGAATAATATTATGATAAAGTAAATTTATCTTTATGCTATTTAATTTTTCTTACTTCTATCATTACATTGCTATTACTTTAGTTATTAATATTCCTGTAAATATGGTATGAATGTGATTAGTCGATGTGAATAGCCGATAATAGTTATACGATTAGTTGAATCATATTTTATTTATAAAATATATTTAAGTGTCTCTCCTGTCTTTAAGTTCAGTACATAAGAACATTTTATCCAAATAAACAAACTAATGTTCTCGATAAAACAGGTTTTAATGAAAATGCCAAGCAAAATATTCTATTGATTTTTTTTTATTGCTAATAGACGAAGCTATCATTGGCCAGAACGAAACTGTTCTAAGATATTTACCGTTTTCAATGTAGATGATCCATAAACATTTGTTACAAGAATTGAATAAATTGTCAATTGCTTGTGAACAAGTTGAAAATAATAACTTTCTATTAACTGGCGTCGTCGCTAGGAAAATATGTCATAGAAACTATCCTGTGCAGAATTATTCACACAGAGCAGAGCAAAACTATTCACAAAATATTTTTATGCTAGGATGTTTTCGCTGTACAAAGGCTTACAAAAAAGTTGTTCTTGGTTGTTGTATAAAAAAGTTATTCTTTGTTGTTGTATAAAATAGTTATTCTCTGTTGTAAACGTATAAACGTACAATATAAATCAAAATTTCAATAACAGACATAGGGTGTGCTAAAATACTTGCATTCTAGGCCTTAGCTTTGCCATCTAATAGACTTTTTCTAATCTGATTTAAACATATTTTATTCATACGGGTAGATTAATTGTTACTGATTTTTTTTTTTAAATGTTTGTTCTTCGAAATATTAGAGAGGAGCAAACGATGTTCTCTCCCTCTCTATATTTTTATTGGGGAGCGATTCCCGTCCCTCCACTAGCGGATCCAGGATTTCAGTTTCTGGGAAGGCTTCAGCCCAAAAGCTTTTTTTTTCATATGTAACGATAATTACTTTGGGATAAAAAGAAAGAAACTTATTACCTAATGATGTTTAATTGATTCTTGAAGTCCTTATTAAATGTAATAACACGAACAATATTTATAATATTTTACCCGAATAATATTTTAAGAGATACATTTTTTATATTTTTTTCCATAAAACATGGTTCTATTTTACCATTTAGGGGAGTTGAGGAGGGGACTTCAGCGCAAATTGCAACCCGAAGGACAATTATAAACATATACAGCTGACATTTATGTAGGTCGATAATAATTGTTAAAATATTGAAATAAATATATTTATAGGATTCCGTTCTGATGATCGGATTAATAACAACAATTACAACCTTATGGATTTTCGCAACAATCAAAATTTTCTTTGTATCCTATTATTTTATTATGCATATTTTTTTTTACACATATTTTATTACTATGCGTATTTTCTCCGTATCTATCAATAACAAAGGGAAAGTTCAATCACGTATTTTAGCATTTTTGCTAGAAGGAAAGCTATGTTCCTTATTGTATATTTTACATACTTATGTATTAGAAAAGCAGTAATATAACATATAACTAATCTAAACAACTCGTGTAAGTCAAGGCAGCCATTTTGGATGAAAACAGGATTGCCAACACTCGGCTACTTTCAGTATTCATTGGGTATTCAGGAGTTGCGAACGGAAAACTAGTAACTTCAGCCATTTTACCGCGTAAAGTTACCATAAAATATTAACTGATTCTTAAACAATTTACATGTTTAATTATAAGATTATCATAATTCAACATGGGTATTAATAATTTGTTATTTTTCCCACAGCATCATGAAAACGGTGGCAGGGTTGATCTTGGTAACAGCAGTGGTGTTGGCGATGGGAGCCACCCCAGAACCTCCAAGAAGCGGAGTGATCGGAGCCAAAGGACTGGCTACTGCAGCTGATTGTAGCGGAGCTGTCGGATTCAGCGCCACTGGTTTGGATAGGGTCCATTCCAGCGGCCTCGTCAGCTACAGGACCACGCTTGTCGACAGAGGAGTCGGCTTCAGCAGGGAAACTGGAGAGTTCACCGTACACTGTCCAGGCATTTATCACGTAGCCTTTGCCGCCTACTCTGATCAGGCTAACACCAAGTAAGTATGGCTATTAACTATCTCCTTACTTCAACGTTCTTATGTAAGCTAATGAATACAGGAAGGGCGGTTTACAGGTATCTTACCTATTCTATTGTAAAGTTTTTTTGTTGATAACCTTTGTTCTTCTATACCATATAAAAAAATGTTTAATAAACGATTGAGATTAATACAAATCTGTGCTGTATTTCAGCAACACTCTTTGTTTCAGTTTTTCAGTAAGACCTTAATTTTTTTTTATAAACTTGTAAAGAAACTGTGTAATGAAAAGAAATTTATTGGTGAAGTACTAAAATATAGGCATTTTGAAATGTGTAAGTGATACTCATATAAATTAAAATTGACCTAATGTTTTAGTAATTTTATATTCAATTTGAATCTGTTAAATTTGTCATTTTAGCAACTAGCCGCAGATTTATTTTCATAATGTGGCTTTAATAAGTTTTTATTTTAAAACATTCAATATTTTTCATCATTAAATTGTTCATGAATCTGTTCTTGAATTTAACAGATTTATCTATCAAATCCATAACTTATAACTTCCCTTATTATAAAATAATTAAATATCAGAAAGGCATTGTTTATATTTTATTATTAGTTATGTTTGCAATAGAAAGTTTTTCCACTGCTTCATATTTTTTTTTTTTTATATCATAATACATATTCTATCTTCAAAACTATAATTACAATATACTATAAGACATGGGCGTAGTTTAGTCCACAGATGGGTCTGGGGGAAGGAAGGGGACTTTCGAGCTGAAGCCTCTCTCCCTCCTCCCCTCAAAAAAATGGTAAAACGTAAACATGTTTGTGGTAAAAAAATTATCTCTTAAAGAATTATTGTTCGTGTAATTACATTTAATAGGACAACAAGAATACCTTTTCATATAGGAAGTGAGTGTCTTTCTTTTTTTTCCAAAGTAATTATTGTTATATGTATGAAAAAAAAAAACCTTTCGGGCTGAAACTCCCCCTCCCTCAAAATTAAATTCTGGATCTGCTGGTGGTTCAGTCTAAATTACTGGAGGGGACAGGAACTATATATATAGAAAAACTATATACTATAGAAGTATATAGTATAGAACTATATACTATAGAACTATATATTATAGAAAAACTTATAATGGATGCGCACAGCCTTCCAGTCCTCCCCCCCCCCTCCATAGAGAAGTTAAACTTCATCCAGACCTAGAAAATTGATTGCATTATTCCATTTTTCTAAGATTTCCTTATTTTTTTTTAGCCTATTATAGGAAAAAGTGTATTTGAAGTTGGTTGCTCCACTTCAAGCAGACATTTGCTGGTTCAAGCACGGTGAGAGGAGAGGTGTTAACATACTTGTTTTACAAAGAAATATTTGAATTTCAAATTTGGTTTAAACTACTTTTCTTTTTAAAATAAAAACAATTTTAAAAAATCGAGCATAAATGCAAATATCTGAATAAATGTCCTGTAACAGTTGCACTTATGTGAAACTTTCCATAAGTTCAGTTTTGATGTCCCCTTTAACAGATTTGCCACCTTCAAGGGAAAACTGCGCAAGCCATGCTCAACTACACTTTGAAACTCTTATGCTCGTCGTAGTTTGGGTATTGTATGAATGTGGCTTAAACAAAATTGATAATGAAGGAATATTATGCACCTAAAATAATAATAGTGAACTTACCTATTTGTATCCATTTTATATTCCACACACACACATATATATATATATATATATATATATATATATATATATATATATATATATATATATATATATTAATTTGTGAGATTTTAAGATCATATGTGACCATTCAAAATACTGGTGGGTATGAATTTCAAACATTGGAAGTATGCATCCCCTTGGAAGTATGCTTGCTCTGCTCATGTCCCATTGGGAGCAATGGCTATGATATAAGATATTAACATTTTATAATCAACTATGAATGGGTTTAGATTGATTTATGGTTAGCATTTATTTGCTTTATAATAATTTTTTTTAATTTTTTTTTTTTTGTACTTCTATTCTGCTACTCAATTTTTTTAAGAATCATCTAATTTTTTCTTTTCCAGAATAGTGTTGAAGAAGAGGACATCCAACAGCACATGGACAGAAGTGGCAGGAGCAGGGGGAAATGGTTCAGGTGGTGGTTCAAATCAAATCCTTTTAGATCTTGGAGTTAGTGACCAAACTGGGGTATGGCTTGTAAGTGGAGATATCGCTAAAGAACAAGATCGTGCTGTCCCGTCCACTACCTTCACAGCATTCAGAATAGCCAAAAAGTGATGAAACCTACATTTCTATGTGCCAATCACTGTCCTACAAGTCCAGTATTAAAACATAAATATTAACGATTAAAATAAAATTGGGTAAAAGACTCCTGACTTGAATCCTTCTTGCACTCATCTTGATTATTTCAGTTACACTTCTTTATCTTTTTCTACTCTAATTTTTTCACATTTTCTTCTAACCTATTTATTATTATTATTTTTCTGAAACAGTCTTTAAGAATACTTTAAGCATGAATTACTAACACTTTATCATTTCCACTCACCTCTTCAGCATGCTCTGTCATTTTCAACACTTTCTTCTTTAACTTTTTCTTTTTCTTTTAACTTCTTCTCTGCATGGTTTGTCTTTTTCTGTTTTCTTTAAATGTAAATATGATTGTGATCAATTGCATGAAATATCATTACAAGTCCAGTGTGAGGTTTGTCGTTATTTCATTCGATATGAAGTGACAATCAAATCTCCTCATGTAAACAAGCAGGAGTTCTTTTCAGATTTATGCTCTAGTTAAATTTTTAAAATTAAAAAAAAAATTTGGTTTTCTAAAAAACTCTTATATGTTTATCAAGTTACTTTTTAATGCAAACATAAATCATCAAATAAAAAAAGTTAGTTAATCCTTAAATGAATGGGTGATCACTTTGGTTGAATGCTCTTAACTTCAGCAGTGTTTTTTATTCAATGACTAATTAAATTAAATGGACTAAAGTGTTTACCCAGAAATCAATTAATCAAATATATTACTCTGTGAACAGTCTAATTAAAATGTTGACAAAATAACAAAGGAAACTTAGTGAGTAATCATTATTAGAGGGTAGCTGATTGTACCTGTAGATGAGGAATTTATTTTTATAGAAATGGATAGTTTACTTCTAATGATTTGTATCATATTTTTTTAAACTGTGTAATCGCATGTTTTATTTTTAATTTATTTATACTTCATAAATCTTTTTATCTCTTTGGATTCCCTCTTTTTTTCTGATTTAACTATTGACTGTCTATTTAAAAATATTTTTTATTACTACCTGTGTTACTAAATCTACTTTTCCATTTCATTATTCATTTTGTACTATTTGACTTGGAGTTTAACATTCAGTTGATGATTATTTTCTTTGATTAGGTAGATTAAGCCATTGTTTTATTTTTTTCAGGAATATTTTACTTCTATCTATAGTTATTTCTTCTAACTCTTCAACTTTTACATTTATTAATTATTATTTCAAAATTTCTTCTATGCTCTGTTTTATTATTATTATTATTATTATTATTAACATTATTGTTTTTCTCCATTATTTTTTGCAAATTCATTTTGATTTTTTTTCTTTACTGATCTATTTCGTATAATATCAGTTTTATATAATGGTATATAACAAATTTCTGTAAATTAAAAACTTTTTTATTGTTTTACTTAATTATTACTACAGTAACAAACACCTAAAAGGTGTAATTTACAGTTGCTTAATCTAAAACTACTTTTATGTTTTTTTTAAAAATAAGTATAAACTATTTGAAGATAGAGACACTTCCTTTAAATTTAACTCTTCATTTGAATAAATAAAAACAATTAATGTTAAATGGACTATATTAACCGTTTTTATTTCTTCAACTGCTCTTGATAATTCTTAATGCTCTTTTCATTAAAATAATGAATAACAAAAAGTTCATATTTGGTAATTGTTTGAATTCCATTATTTTTTAAAATAACCATTCCAGTATTGTGTCATAAGTGTTAGCTAATGTAATCCTTGATATGTACGCTTTGATTACTCAGAATGAAAATTGAATAAATCTAACTAGGAAAAATTTTGCTTTTAAATTTGAATTATTTAGTTTTGTCTTAATTATGTTCCATAAGTATTTATATCTGCAATTTTCTTTATTTTGTACTTATTAATCACTTTAACTTTTAATTTCTTTGTAATATCTTTATCCAGCACAAAATAACATTGTTAATTATGCACAGCTTGTAGTTGTAATCGTTATAGCATAACAACATGCTGCCTTTATTATTAGATTAATAATATCTTTTATTATTAATCTATAATATCCAATATATTTCTATATGTATATATATATTTTTTTCTGTTTTGATGTTTCCTTAGTGAATATTAGTTTCCAAAATAAAAAAGTAGCTTTATTCTTTTTAAAAACTTTTCTCTAAAATAAGGATTTGAAAAAAAAATGAATAATATTTTTACCTAGTTTTTTATTTATTTTGTAGTGACTGCTACTAGTTTACATTATTAATTTCTTCTAAAATTTAACATTTTTGTTTATTGTCTGTTTATAAGTGTTTTTATACTTCTATCATATAATATTTAATTATATTTCTATCTATTTTTTATTATTCTAATCTTATATATATTTATCTATTACTTCTATTCTGTTCTTATATATATATATATATATATATATATATATATATATATATATATATATATATATATAAACTTGTACATAAATGTTTCTAAGTTTTATGATTATCTTAGTATTCTAAAGTAGTTTTTTGTATCTTTAATGGAGATTTAAGTAGATTTAAAGTAGCTTTTCAGTTACAGTTGCAATTAATTTTTCATTCTCTTTTTTTTAGATAAAGTTGATTTTATGCTTTGATTTCAAAATTGACTTTACATCTTACATTCTGTTCTATACAGCTTATTTTCTATTGAACCTTCTATTTCAACTCATTGTAATAAGGCATATTAGCTATAACATACTTGAACTTTAAACTCTTATTTAATATCGAGGATAATCATTAAACCAAATATATAAAGTAATAATAATTTCAAATTAAATGTTTTTAATTTAAATATATGCAAAAATGTACACAAAGGATTTTGGTAAAAATCTAAATCGAGGTTACACAAAAAATTCTAACTCATTTTTATAAATAACTTTTAATATAAATTTATTACTAGAATAGATTTTACACAATTAAGAAATATAAAATATAATTATAATAACTTAAATTATTTAGATTATTAGTTTTTAAATTCCCATTAAATTTATAATATATTTGGCTGAAATATCTTTTTTGTAATTGTAAATACTTTGTAAAAGTAGTTATTTGGGAATGTATACGTATGTATAACTTTTTCTGTTTATTCAATATTGATTTATTACACTGCTGTATATTTTTTTCTCTATCTAACTTTACTCCAACAAACACACGCACACACACATGCAGATATAAACACCTGTGTTTTCCTTTTTATATCATTGATGTTTGATTGAAAGAGTAAATTTGACAAATTACATCCTTTTAATTCTCCATCTTTTTAAATTAATTACATTAATAATTACCAATGAGCAAAAACTGAACTGTAACTTTAATATTTGCAAATCCTTCCTACAGAGTTATACTGTTATGTCATAATGTTATATTGTGATATAATAAGGGTGTTACTATGTTTTCTCATAAAATAAAATGCTGTATGTCAAATATGCTCTCCTGAAAATTAGTAAAGCAGTATTCTTCATTAGAAATTGCTACGTCTTATTAATGTTTTACTAATAAGACTGCCTTTTGCACTTCACTTGTTCTAAAAAAGGCCTTCAACTTAGGCCAAAACATTGTTACATATCAAAAATAAGGTTTCTTATTTGTGCTGTAATTTCCTTAAGGACCAAAAATGTTTTGTTTGTTGAATACATACCATTGATGGGTAATAATTTTGTATTAATTGATTATTGTGTTATATTTTGTGATAGCAATTACACAAAAAAATTAATTACTTTAAATAAATTTGATTATAATCATATTTTAATTTGGTTTGTTTTAGTTATGTATTACACTATATTATCATGACTATACAAACAGATAAATTTTGATCTTATTTATGAAATTTTACTTAATCACTTTTCCTATATACCGATGATATATATGTGTGTGTATGTAGTGCCAATGTGTTTTACCAATTTTTTTATTCATGAATTTTGAATTACTCAATTCTTTTTTTCTTTTAATCTTTAATACCTCTATTTTTACAAAGACTTGGGCTGAAATTAACCACACTTGTAGACCATTTAATAACTATTTCCTACAACAGAGCTTCTCATTTTGCCTGCCTGCATGTCTTTCATATGTGCCTGTCTCAGATAGTCTCTACCATGTCAGTATATAACTACATTATTTGGTGGTATTGTTATCATGAAGTAGGGCAAATTCCTAAATTCAGAGCTATGCTCATTGATGAAATTGTTTTGCCTAGTTTAAAGACAGTTCCAATTCCATTGATAAGCTCAGCACTGAATTTAGGAACTTGCTCCATTTCCACATTTTAGTTACAGGCCTGCCATGGTACAGATTATCTGAGGTGGGATATGCAATGAATTTTCATTTTAATATCTAATAAATAATTAATTTCTGTAATAAATGTGAATGTAATCACTGGTAGAACAGTTTTGGAGGCTCCTGTCGTTGTGCATAGTAGTTTAAAGTCTGATTGAAATAATATATTTTGTTTAAAATAGTAACTAAAATATTTTTCATATTTCCTTTGTTATTATTAAATAATACTTTTTCCTTAGACTGTTTTTTAAAAAATTGAATGAATTTTTTTTTTTAAAGATCTAAGTGTCATAGTTTTTAAAAATTACTGTATTTATATTTTTTATTGAATTTGATACAATATTTTTCTCTAAAGAGTCTTGATGTATATATGCAATCTAAACAGTTTAACTTTAGTATAAATGGTGTCTCTTTTGATTTGATAATATCATCTTATCATGAAATCTTTATAAAAAATTGAAGAAAACATGATTTTTTATAATTTTAAGTTGATAAAATGAATAAGGTCTTAGTGGGATAGTGATCTGGCACAGGAAATTCCTTTTTCCCTTGTTATCAAGAACTCTCAAAATTGGTCAACCCTTTTTCTTTTGATTATTTTCTCTGAATAGATTGAAGAGAAGAAGGCGATAACATTTCTTCTGATGTAAGTACATAATTTAGGATAATTCTTACTTAACAGTGTTAAGAATATCATAGTTAAAATGAAAATTGGCAGCATCTGAAATGCTTAAATCAAAAATGATCATTAAATTTAACTCATGTCAGTCCAGCTTTTAATATTTAATGAGACGTACCTCCCTTCTCTCTTTATTAGGAGGGATATCCTTGATGTGGAATCTCAGTCAAACGTATTTGATTATTCTATTTTAAACATTTTGTTATCATTTTCTAATTGTTTATACGAAAATAACATTTAAAATTTCAGAATTTAATAAATGTTATCTGGAAAAGTTTTTAAAGCCTTGAGCACGAATATATATACAGTATCTTTATAAACATGCAGAACTATGTATGAAGTTCGCACCACACTCTGAAGATCTTTCCCAAGCCAAAATACTCCACTTTAAAGTTATTGGCCAATCAGCCTACATCCATTACTTATTGCTGGTCAGGGTAAACCGATCTTTATTTGATTTTTGAAGCAAATTGACCATGGATCGGACTTCTAGTTGAACTACTCAATATCTTGAAAAATTATAGCCTAGTATCTAAATAAATTTGAATGATGTAGAGCTACCATTCCTACACATGTTTAAGGATGGGATGGCCGAGCACGGGACATGGATCCCAGAGTGCCCAGTTCTGAACGTTTGTGATTCAATTCTCAAATGGATCAATTAATTTTCATTTCTCAGTGGCCCCGGGAAATGAATCTTGACACTCCCTCTCTACTAAGTACATGGCGGGAACCTCAAGATAACTATCAGGGTTATCTATATGGTAATATAGAATAGAAATATATGGTAAAAGGACCACTTGCCGGACTAGTTTCTCCCACGAGTACCTACATTTGTTTTCTCATGTGGATTCAGCAATAGATCTTATATTTTATTATTTTATAATAATTATACTGTTGCAAAAATGAGCCCAATACGCGAATAAGAAAATGTATACTAACAACTGAAAATTGAAGTAAATTTGTCTCTCCAACATAAATT